CCGCTAGAAAGGCTATAATAAATCCTAGGATACCTAGACTCTACCCTTAGACTTTAAGAATATAGATAATATAATTTAATAATATAAACTTAGTAAAGCTCCTTATATAAGGAAAGTAAGAAAGGATTATAAGTAATATATAGAAAATATAGTAAAGAAGCATATCTTCTTATATAGCCTTTAGCCTAAATATAGCCTTAGGCCTATAGGTATCTATAAATATAAAAACGCCTAATATAATTTATAGGAATTGTGCCCTACACGTAATATACCTACTCCTCCTAAGCGCCCTTGCCCTTAACCGCACCCTCCTCGCCTTTAGCATCCTCCTTATCTCTACTACTATTACTAGCTTTAACACTAGCACCCTCCTTATTATTATTATTACTAGAGGAGCTATTAGTATTATTACTACTATTAGGAGCCTAAAACTAGTTAGCATGCGCCCTATATACGCTTAATAAGCGCACTTATAAGTCTAGCTACGTGGCCTATAATTTACTTAAGCGTAGCTATAATATAACGCTACTCTATAAGGATTAAGCTAAGGAATTAGGGCAAAGTAGTAGAGACCTAGGTAGCTACACCTAAAGGTGTTCTAGTATAGGTAGTAATATAGTAGTAGCTTAATAGCTCTAAGTTAAACTAGCGCTAGTAGCGCATAAGCTTAACGCCTATAGTAATTATATTAGCGTCTATTCTTAAAGTAGTAGTATTTATAACTATAGTATTATAGTTAGTATAGAGGGCGTATAAATAATTTAATTAACTATTTATTACCTAGGGCACCTATAAAAATTAGCTATAGCGTACCTAAAGTAAACTCTTAGTACTAACCTTAGTATACCTACTATAGTTACTAGTAGTATAGTGCTTATAGCAATAATACTTAGGTATATTATAATCCTTTTTCTACTTAGCAATATTTTAAGCGCAGCGTATATAGGTTATAGCTAGGGCTACCTAATCTACGCGCTTAGCTAGTGCGTTAAACGTATAGGGCTAGGTACTATAGAGGTGCAACTTCTTAATATATTTAGGGTTTAGATAGTAAACTATATTAATAGGTATAGGATATATAGTTAAGGTGTATTATAGGTGCTTAAAGATTAAGGTATATAGTAGTAAAGTATTTAGTTATTTATAATATATAGAGCTTAGGCCTTAGGCTAAGTAATAAGTAAATAGTTAACTTTCTACACTATAGTATAATAATACGCGCGCACTATACGCCTATAATATATATAACACGCAGAAGGAACGCTTATATAGCGTATCTATAGGTTAAACTATAGATACTCTTTTCCTTCCCTATAGGGTAAGGTTTTTATTAAGGCTATAGGTTGCTACTAGGGACTATAGCTAGAGGGGGAGATTCTATAACAACCCTATTATAAAGACACCTTATAGTGTTCTAGTTAATTAGGTTTAGTATCTTAGCGCCTAAGCTGCGTAAAACCTACGCTTCGCGTAGGGCTTAGGCAAGACACGTATTATTCTCGTGTTAATACTATACTAATAGCCATCTCTACACTATTCTATCTAGTGTAAAGCAAATACTATTGCCTACAACTAGAACCTTACACCTACCTACTTCCTTACTAAGAAGGATAGTGTAGAATATTAGGTAAGCTTAGGGCTATTAGTTTATTAGTATAGATCTTACTAAGTGTTATAAAGGAAAAATTCTTATATAGATTATATATATTAGGATATAGCTATACCTAGAGAAGCACTACTAGTACTAAGTCCCCCTACTAGAAGAGTTATAGCACTTACTATTAGACTTATTAAAGAGCGTAGAGTATAGATAATTTAGATAAGTTTTAGCATAATAAATACTAGGCTCTCCTTAGTAGGAGGATTTTAGGGTCTCCTTAGGAGCTAGAGAGGGAGCAGGAGAAGGGGTCTAGGGAGGAGCGGGAGCTAGAGTTAGAGCTAGAGGGGTAAGAGCTAAGGTAGGAGCACCCTTCCTTAGCTTCTTAATCTTAGCTATAGTAGTAGTAGCTGCGTGCTTAGCTACTATACGCTCTGCAATAGCCTTACACTTAGTAGTAGTACGCTCTTTTTTAGTAGTAGTAGCTTTAGTAATAGTAGATTTAGTAGTATAGGAGGTAATAAGGGTAGTATAGGTAGAGTAAGTATAAGTAGTAGTTTTTAACTTTAACTAAAATATAGGTTAGTAAGGATATAAGTATAGTTTAGATCTTTAGAGTTATATAATTTTATAATTTAAGCTATAGTAAAGATTATAGTTAGGTAGATAGAGTTATAGAGCCTAGTCTAGATAATATCTAAGCGCGCAAGCGCAGGCTAAATAAGGAAGGCGCGCTAATTAGTATCTAAAGGGTAAGCTAATTTAACCCTTTAGATATATAACACTCTAATTAGCTATACTACCTACTAACTATAAGTGTAACTATAATAATAAAAGATCTACCTATACCTAGAGGGTGTGTTATAGGAGGGATATTAACTAGATTATAGAGTATCTTAAGCTAATTAATCCTAGTTAACACCTATATATAACCTACTATCTAATTAACTACTAGCTTACTACTAAGTGCCTAATAAAAAGTAGGAGCTCTAGTAAGGAAGGTTTACTAATTATTTACCTTCTAGTAAGGGTAGCTAAAGCTCTATATATATAAGTCTGATTGTAGTAGATATAATCTAATAATCCATCTCCCAAATCATTCCTAACCTTAGTGATCTAGATCTCCACAGTGAATAATTAGTAAACCTTCCTTACTAGAGCTCCTGCTTTTTATTAGGCACTTAGCAGTAAGCTAGCAGTTGATTAGATAGTGGGTCATACATAGGTGTTAACTAGGATTAATTGGCTTAAGATGCTCTGTGATCTGGTTAATATCCCTCCTACAACAATAAGTCTAATTATAGTAGATATAATCTAATAATCTATCTCCTAAATTATTCCTAACCTTAGTAATCTAAATTTCCACAAAAAGGATAAGATTCTTACACCTATATAGGTCTTATATAAAAGGATAAGAAGAATATACTTATTCTTACATAGGCGAGCTTCTATATATATCTGTAAATTAGGCTATTATTAGTGTTAACTTAGTATAGAATAATAGGCGAACAATTCTGCCCTATTATTACAATAATTAAATTAGATTAAAACAAGAATTAAGGAGAAGTAATCTCTATTTCTAAGATATCTTAAGAATTAAGTGTTAAGTTACCTAATATTCTATCCTATAATCCTCCCCTCCTTTATACTATTATCCCACCTAAATTAAGTTTTAACCTATTCTAACTTAGGCTAGACCTTGTTTTCAACCGAACCCATCGTGCCACGGCACACTACCTATCTATAGGCGAGATACTACCTATATACCTAGGGTGTAACGACTCTGCTATTCATAGTCACCACGAGTAACTATCTAGCTTGGTTCCTGGGGCTAGCACCTTAATATGAACCCACCTTTGGCCTAATTCCCCTAGGTATATAGGTAGTATCTCGCCTATAGATGGGTAGATATATTTCTCTTATGCTTTTATACAAGACCTATAGGTATAGGAATTAATCGTTCTATCTCTATATAGACGCGCACTCCCATATGCCTTTGAGTAGTATTGGACCCCTATCCGATGTTCCTACTTACCTGCGTCGTTATAAGAACTGGGTGACCGGCCAATATTCATCTGGAGACCGTGACCGAGATGCCCCTAAAAAGACAGCTCCTGGTCGCCATCATTTTGTACAATATCGAGAAATGCAAGCAATGTCAGTTGCTCCAATCTAGGCTGGCCTTCTTTGAGTCACCGTCTGCATCATGTCATGAGTGTCAGCCGATGTTGAGAGAGCACGGCAGCCTCGAAGCGTCATTTTGCACATCGGTGGACGTCTGTTGATATTGTCAGGCGCCACGTATACGAGCTCAAGGAAAAGTCCCATCATAATCCATCACTGGCGTGTCATTAGCGGCAGCTCCGCCTTGTACCGCTGAATTGACTAGCTTGGCCCTAGCCTAGGCAATCTGCTAGCAAATGTTTTTTTACTGTATCCTATTTGCCTATCCAGTGGCCGGGGAGCACTGGGCTGTGAACCTGTCCTGTGAACCTGAGTATCGACGCTCCTTGGAGCAAGATCCAAAGAGATGCAGCGTTTAACAAGAGCAATATGAAACATTAAAAAGCAACAGTAGTTGTCGGGCCTTCGGGAGGTCAGCATCGGGATCCGCAATCATCTCAAGGGTTGATCATCGATCAAATTCGATCTGTGACGGCATCGTCAAAAATAAAGTTGTTCGGAGATGGGCCCTCCGCTTGCCACCCGACACTACCGGTACTATAGTACACGCTTCGGTCCCTCGTGAGTGTAGGTGGATTGATACGGTTCCACGTGATGGAATGCAGGCATGACAACGCGGAGATTTTCAACTCAAATTCCAGAACGTGCAGACAGTATCCCCGTCTCCGTAAGCGTGGGTAATTCGTCTCGAGGCGGGAACAGGCGAAGGGCCAGCGAGTTTCTCGGGGATATAAATAGTCCGCGCCACGCCGCTAGATATCTCGGCGGGGTTGGCAACATTGGCATGTGTTTCCTGACACACTTGAGGCTTTTCAGTGTGAAATTGCATTCTTACCCACATTCGCGTTATGTAACCACGTTCAGGCGATTACAGCCGTGATCTGGCGAAGGATGCACCACACTTCGCGGAGCGACCATCCGAATCCTGAAGATGGCCTGAGTCGGCAAAGCACGTTCACGGCAAAAGCCAAATGTTCCGCTCTTCTATGGACGCAACCCTGCCCTGTTTTCGTATTTCTGCAGCGAGGTACTCTTGGCTGCTGGGAAAGCATTGGCTCTACTGGTCGAGGCCCATCGCTCCTCAGAGCAGAGCAATACTCTGTATAAGTAATCCCAGCCGCCTTGCAATGTTGGCTTCTACTCCACGCCTCTCGCTCTGCTACTTTCAATAGTAGCTGTCACTCGCTATACTTATACTAATTATTTCTAATACTAAATCATGAGGTTTTCTAAAATCGTGTCCGCCTCATTGGTGGCACCGCTGGTGGCCGCTCACGGTGGAAGTATTCCGGGAGCACCAAAGGTTTTTGGTCTCCCTCGCAACCTGAATGCGAAGACACCTACAGCTCGTGTCCTCCGTCATGCTGCTGAGCCCAAGCGTGGTCTTCTGGAGACTCGACAAGGTGGTCAGAATGGACGCTGTGGACCCGACTTCGGCCGCGCGTCTTGCGCTCCAGGCTACTGCTGCTCTGGTGCAGTATGTTGGAGTCTCGATCGCTTGCATGAACATTGCTGATCTAATTTCAGGGCTACTGCGGAACCACCAAAGACCACTGTGCTGCGCCCGACTGCTTGATTGACTTCGGTCCAGCTTGCGACGCCAACAAGACTCCCGGAGGAGCCAGCACCCGTAACGATGCTCGTCCACAAAAGGGCAATGTCCCATACGGCGGAGAGGGCATCTACACCTGCCAGAAGGCTGGAACAGTTGCGATCACTTACGATGATGGGTATGTCTAGCCATGTAAAAGTCGTGCTGAGCAACATGTACTAATATGCAACTATAGCCCATACTCTTACACTTCTCAAGTTCTCGATCAATTCGCACAGTACGGATTCAAGGCTACCTTCTTCGTGACAGGTAACAACCTTGGCAAAGGCGCGATTGACAGCACTTCACAATGGTCCAACGTGATAAAGCGTATGGTTGCTGAAGGCCATCAAGTGGCCTCTCACACCTGGTCGCACCAGGATTTGAGTGTCATCAGCGATTCTCAGCGTTACGACCAGATGGTCAAGAACGAAATGGCCATCCGCAACATCATCGGAAAGTACCCCACCTACATGCGCCCCCCTTACTCTTCCTGCAATGGTGCTTGCCAGACCGTCATGAAGAACCTCGGCTACGTCATCTCGTACTTCGACTTGGACACGGATGACTACAATCAGCTCTCCAACATCCAGGTCGCTAAGGACAACTTCAAGCGTATCCTCGACGAGACTCCCGGTGGACCTCAGTCTGGTGATCGTCTTGCTATTGCCCACGACATCCACGAGGCAACTGCTTTGTCTCTTACTGGATACATGCTTCAGTACTTGAAGTCCAAGGGCTACCGTGGCGTGACCATGGGAGAGTGCATGGGTGAGCCAGAGGCAAACTGGTACCGCACCTCTGGTGAAAGCGGCGGCTCCACTCCCCCTCCTACCACCAACCCTCCTTCCACTGGTGGCAATGTCTCTACCGATGGAAAATGCGGTGTCCAAGGTGGTGCTACATGCAATGGCTCCAGCTTTGGCAACTGCTGCTCGCAGTACGGATGGGTAAGTCAAGCCAAAATTGTAGTTTCATACATTCATAGCTAACGATTGTGAAGTGTGGAAGCACTAACGACCACTGCGGCACTGGCTGCAACGCCTCCTCCGGCACTTGCGGAAGCGGTAGCTCCCCAGCACCCAACCAGCCCGTTGCTGTTTCAAAGGATGGTACATGCGGTACTGGCAAGGGAACTTGCACGGGGTCTGCGTTCGGTACCTGCTGCTCACAGTACGGTTGGTGCGGTACCACATCTGGACACTGTGGCGCGGGCTGCAACAAGGCGTTCGGCAGATGTGACTAGAAGTCTAATCTATAATCGGTTTGCATGCGCTTGGGTTTCTGTAGGATCATCGTTGGAATCCTACAATCCACTCTGCTTTCCCAATCAGAGAAGACAAACAAAATACGAAATGCACAATTTATGGCAAACCAATAAAGTCGGTCATGCAGAATATTGAAACCGGTAAAGGTCCCCAATCGGTCAGTAGGTGACTTGTCATGGCGAGTTTCAGGGGGTCGGCTCCTACCTTCGCTAGGTAAACAGCGTTGCAGCCAAGGTGGTAGCGTAGCCACAGGCCTCCCACCAAGCTTCTGCCGTCTGTTCTGGGTGTTGCCTGCCGCCAGAATCGCGATTTTCGAGGATGAAACATACTCCAGAGCTCAAACCTTGGCCGTTGTTATCTAGGACATTATGGAGCAGGTTCCGCGAGAGTAAATGTTCTGGAACGCCGAATGCGTCATTCTCTCCAGCAGCACCATGTCAAGATGAAGGCTATGCGCTACCCAAGACTCTTTGAGGCTAACGGCTACTATGCATGTTCCCCTCTATCAAGACCATTTTCTCGACTCCGGTAACATGACCTAAAATGCAGATCTGTATGTTGATTTTCAATACCCTTCACAGACGATCTAGCTATTCAGGTTTATTTGGTACGTCCACAATTCAAAGCATTGTCAGTCAAAAGAAGACTTAACAACCAAATTGGGATTTCGATGATTATTTCGCAGCTGATGCGAAAAGCAGTTGTTCACTAAGCAACATCGCGTTTTCAAAAAATATCTCCCTCCTCACACAAAGCAGCGCAATCAACAGGAAAGTCCTTATAACTAAACTATTTGAGCTATAGAATATCTTAAGGGATGATCAAGGGACACCTTTAATGGCCTAGCAGGAGCCTCCATAATGCACAAAATCTTTAACAGCACAACCGTTCAACAGTTCCAAATCCACAGGATACTGTGATCATTGTCACAAATGATATCATCACCTTCTCTACCGTTAATATCGAGAAAATTTGCGGTCTATCTATGCGAACATTAAATACATGGCCTGCAAAGTGTTGTATACTAGTTATGTCATTAACTTGTCATGTCAAGAGGAAATATGCAAATTGTAAGCCAAACATGAACAAAACTATCGTGAACTTGTAAGTATCCTTATTGTCCAAGTGTTGGAGGGTGACCTTTTTGTTGCAAAATAATTCAGCAATCCACAAGCAAATGATAGAACCCTATCGATCAGCAATGACGGTATTTCTCAATTCGTAGACTAATCATATGGAAATGTTTAGAGAAGCAAACATGTATTGCGCAAACCCAAGGGCGTCACTTGATCACTCTGGCCTGAGGTACACGTGCGAGAAATCACGGCAGAACATGAATTACCACGGTGTTGAAAAGGCAGCTCAGTATACTTAGACTTCATCATGTGTTTCTGTGTTCTGGGGCCATGATACTTCATAATCCCACACATCAACAGCAATTACCTTGACATTAATGATTGTACTGAATTTGTTCTCGTGTGGCGTGTTGAGACTGGTGGCGTCACCTACCAGCCACCCGCCTGAGTCTCCGCTACATACCGTTAGGTAACTTCGTCGACATCTCCAAGCGAACACGAGGCCTGCGGTACCTTCTTCAAAGTGCGAGATATCCCCGGATATTTTCTCCCGCGCAAGGCTGACACGGAAAGATCCTTGTCCTAGTCATTCGCTTCCATACCATGATACTTACCTAAACTCAAAGCGGTGCATGTGCCCACACTTAGGCAGCCATCCTTCACAGCCACCGCAATACTGTTGTGATGAGACCTGTGTGCAGTAAAATCTCGATTCACGATTTTCCAAACTCCTTCTTAGCAGCATCATCTTCATGCCATCAGAAGCCGTCAAGCGTCGAAAACCTCACATCAAATCACGCAGCGGGTGCACGCCATGTCGCGATCGACGTGTAAAATGCGACGAGACGCGTCCAACATGTACCGTACACGTTGTCTGAACCGAGATCAAGTTTGTGAATATAGTCGCTCGGCTCGCGGGCCTGGCCTGCACAACTTCGCCAACGCATCGGCAATGTCCCAACACATCCAAGTCTCAATCCCAAGCAAAACAAAACATCACCCAGCCACATCTTCATGGACCCAAAGCATTCCTCCACCGCTCAAAGACGGCGATGAACTACAGTCCTTACACGTCTGGTCTACGCAAATTTGCTATAGCTTCACGCCCACCCACGCCCCTTTTCTACGCGACAGAGTGGGCGAACAGGCTCTTTCCTGCGACTTTCTCATGGGTGCCCTCCTGGCATCGTCAAGCCTGCATCTAGCCAGCGACACCAAAGTCATTGCAACAGCACGACGTCTGGTCACTTCATCCTTGGAGCACCAGAACTGAGCGATTGCTGGTCTGCAGCAAAACTTGCAGTCGCTCAGCCCACAGAATTGCGACGACGTGTTTCTCACAACTGTATTGATGATGATGTGTGCGTTTGTATCGTCGATTATGCCTGTTTCCCATGCGACGTCTAGTCCTGATATGATGGCTGGGGCATTCCAATTCCTCAAGGGTGTGCAGGCAGTTGGTATTCGTTGTTTTCCATGGCTGTTTGAGGGCAAAGCTTTTGAGCTTTTTGGGCTGGGTAAGCAGGGGGGCAACAAAGAACTCACAACTGGACGCTTGTATTGCGATTGAGCGTCTAAAATCACCCAATGATGATATGTCGTGTGTTGAAAGCCGGGATATTCTAAACAGCTTGATTTCAAACTTGGAGATAGGATTCTCTGGTGAAATTGACGAGGTTCCTTGGCTGATGTCTGCGGGATCCGATTTTATCAATTTACTTTGTAAGGATGATGTGGCCGCAAAGGCAATGCTGATGCATTATGGTGTGCTTCTAGCCAGAACAGAGGGTATCTGGTGGTCTAGGATGGCAGGAGAGAAGATTGTCGAGGAAATGGTTCATGTATTAGAGGGCTCCTGGCAAGGCTTCGCTGCTATGATCGCATGGTGTCTTGAACATATGAAGGCATAGACGTGCGCATGATGTGGAAATACAAGGACATAAGGAACTTTTAGGTCCATATAATTTTGCTACAATTCTGCATCAATTCATTACATTGTTATGAAAGCAACAAAGATGTGGCCAGGAATCACGAGTTGATATTGTTTGCTTACTGAAACGTGGAAACATCAAAGGAGGAAATTATCAACAAGCTGTAGTCACGGTAGATTGATACCGTAAACAAAATTGCATGAAGGCCTGAACTTTTGGGGAAAGGTTCCGCTTCATGGATATCAATTTCTTCTCCTATTCTCAAAGCCCTCGTGCCACGATTTGTAGATGAAGCATCTTTGGTCTTTATGGTCTGATGAGGAATACCATGTCTATTTCAACGCCACCGAAATACGCGCCTGAGCTTATCATCAGGCTTGCAATAACCATACATAGTTCCGAAAAGTTGATTAGTCTTCAATCTACTTCTATATATTTGGCCTTGTTCTCTATCCCAACCCCTCTAGTTATATCTCGTGATATCAATATGAATGCTCGACAAGGACGCTATACATATGTTCGAATTTGCGATGGTCATATGCAATCACGCCCAGCCTATCCGGTACAGATTGTACCCACTCTCGTCACCTCTCCCAATGCCTCTCCGCTTGTCTACCCATTTCTTCTGCAGAATTTGAAAACGTCTCCCCGTTGCATCAAGTGGACAGAATGCTGCTTCAAACGCAGCGTCGACTGTATCTGGGATACCTTCGAACTTCCCTGTCTTGCGGACTGTGGTCATGAGCCAAAAGGTACCATTGGGTTTCAGGAGATGGGCTGCACAATCGCGCAGCCAAGCCGCATGCTCTGGAGCGTAGACCACATCAGACGCGATCAGGAGATCTGCAGTCATGGCTAGCTCGGTGGGTGATTTTGACCAGTCCAACAGAGATGTCCTCACAGGTTGTAGAATACAGGTGGAAGGAAAGTTGGTAGTTATGTTTACTTGGCAGTTTTCCAGGACCGCTGCATGGTAGTCCGTAGCTGTGATACTTGGAGCGTCTATACCGACTTTGGAAAATAGTTTCGCAAGGCTCAGGCTTACGAGCCCTGTTCCAGCTCCTAGCTCAATGACGGTTGGGTTTTCCGGGAAAGCATCTGGCTTGAGACCGAAATGTTCTGGATCCTTGCACATCATACTACTCAGCACAATACTTGCACCCCATGATTGTAGACCAACGTCAGTGTGATCTGTTCCAGACAAAGGTGCGTCATTGAGCGTGATCGTAACGGACTGTCCATACGATGTGGGAAAATCGAAGTCCCGTGTCAATGCTTCTTCTTCATTCTTGGTCGAGTCGGCAAATGACGATAGGATGAATGCTGCATCGTCAACGACAGAGTTCCTGACATCGTCATCCATGAGAATCTCTTCAGATCGAGATATTAGAGCGGTAAGCCATCGTGTTGCAAAAGTGCGCTCGAACGGGTCGGCGCGCAGAGCGGCTGTCACTTCCTCGTGTGCGACATCCTCATCTTCATCTTCATCCTGAGACGCATAACCTGAGTCGACGGCGATTGGAGTCGCAGCAGCGGGAATATTTTGCCTCTTTGTCGTACGCTTTGTCAGTGTTGCCGGTATACGAAGCGGGCAGTATAGCGTTTGCAGTCGTTGCAGGGCAAGTACTATCTCTTGTTCCGTTGAAGTGATGATTTGCCGGATCGGCGGGAGGCTGCTCGAAGGCGGCAGGCAAGAGCCTGACAAGCTGACACTCATCTGTCGTCACCGAGGCATGAGGAAACGCAGATTCCAAGAACCAAAACAGCAAAAGATGGAGGGGAGGGGAAAGGAAAGGAGAGAGAAAGAGAGAGAGAGAGAGAGAGAGAGAGAGGAGAGAGCGTGGGGTGAGAATGAAGGATAAGAAAGGAGAAGTCACGATCTTATATCGCTGAAGGTTAGTCTAGCCTCGGACAGAATCGTAGGTACGGAAATTTTTCACCGCCTCTCGTTCGCCATCGTGGGCTTTTTTCTGGACAAAAGAAAATGGCGAATGGGACAGCAGCCTACATCACACTCCCATTAGCGACTCTAGTGTTGCAAAATGGCACTGCCATTGTGTGTGTGTCTGCGTCTGCTCTCACATCGTTGACTCTGCTCATGGCTTCAGAGTGAAGTTTGGGAGATTTGATTTTGCCACGTGCGACGCCAACTTTGAGCCTCATGGCGCTAGTCTATTCTCGGATGTCGCTCTCGATTCTCGGGAGACCCGAAACGCCGCACTGTCATGTCGAAACCCGTCAAACGGTCTTAACTTCGGCGGTTGAATTCTTGGTCTACGCATTTGGAAATTCAACCTCCTCGCCGTTGAACGCAGCACTAGTGGCTTGGGACTACGAGGCTGGGCAACCCTGCTGTTGGGATTCATGTCGACGCACACAAGCTTGGGTATGTGGGATACTACACCATCAATAGGCCCGAGAAACGTCAAAGAAGTCCTAGTGCTTCTTAATCTATTTCTTTGAGATGCAGACCTTATCCATACATAATGAAGGATCTCTTTTCAGATGTAGGCTGGATCGACCCTCGAGATGAGATCTTGAAGTGCAGTGGAGAGAATGAAAAGGGGCAAGGGCGTGGTGCTTGACTTCATACCTATGCCATCTCAAGAACTAAGGGGAAAAGGCCCATAGCCCACACAGGTGTTCATCATCATCATCTTCTCCTTCTTCCTCTTCTTCCCTTTTCCTCTTCTTCCCTCTTCCTCTTCTTCCGCATCATCATTGCCATCCGCCAGTCTGTCAGGCCTGGTATCTGATAAGTGAAGGCCTGCGTTGTGTGTGCCTCAACGCTCCAGACCCCATTGATCCAGCCATAGCTTTCCAGTATGGTATTTGGCGCATCTTTCTCGGTTTTTGTATCCACGATCAGACTCGCGTAGCAATCGCGACGACCTCGCTTGCATCCTTGACTCAAGCTGGTGAAGACAAAAGATGGAGGAGCGGCATCACCATTCTTTCTGTTCGTTCCCATGCGATGAGTAGTCGCCTTGGTAACTTCTGGCCCTACGAATATGGCGGCCGGATGGCTCGTGTCAGGTTCGTTAGCCAAACGTGCAAGCGAGAGATTTCGACCCTTCGAGAGAGCGTGCACAAGGCACACCATCATGTGGAGTACGTAACGCTCCGACGGCTTTGTGGGATTTCTTGCGTGACTTCTCCTATCGATATTGATGTGCTGCTGCAGAAATCCTGCGAGCCAGCATCTCTTGCCATATGATCTTCGAATTCTAGAGACGACGATGCTCATACACCTCTCGTCCACTAAAGAAAGCGTACGTCCTTCCTCAGTTTTTCTGCTACCACTGTCTTCCCAAATGGAATTGATATCTTCGAATTCGACATCGTATGGCCTTAGGGTCGTTAAAGCTCCGTTCTCGCCGCTAAAATTGCCTGGAGCCAAAAATTTGTAGAGATGCCCCTCCACCTCTAGCCCGTGTCTTGTAAATGTAGGTGCTGTGAACCGATATCGATCTATGTAGCTTTGCTCATAAGCATCTACCGGCGCATCGTATATATTCTTAACCGCTTCAAGGTATTTTCGCAGAGTATATTCCATGATAGAGTCTGATAGACAAGATCGATGGGAGAAAATCTCGCCATTGAGCAAGATCAAAGCCAGCAAGACGGTCGATAGGCTATAAGTATTGCTTCTGACTAGTTCTGAAGATGGGCTGACATCGATACGTCGCTCGAATTTTGCTGCATTGGCAATGATTGCGACTCGGTCTCCTATCTTCTCCAGCGATCGATTACACACGTCATCGAGTATGCTCAGAGTCGTAGTTGGGAAGCGCGCTTGTCGGATTCGTCCAGTCCCCTCAGCTTCTGACTGGCAATTGTTGCTCTGCTCACTGTCCAAATCGTCTGATGAATCGATCTCTCTAAGCGTCACCATGTTCCAAATATTGTACTGCTTGGCTTTACCAAGCATCTCACTGAAGGGCCAGCGTTTCTCGGATTCGTTTGACGCTATGCAAAACATCGTGACGGCTTTGCGGAACGCCACCAGTGCGATGATAAGATCTCTGGGAAGTTGTCCAAAGTCGTAAGCGAATCCGTATTTCTTCAAATGTTTTGAATACGGTACAAGAAGCGTCATTCTTTGAGAAGCCAGGTGGTCTTCCTGGAAAATCCAGCCGCGCGACCAGCGGACATCGGTCAAGAGTCTCAAAATAAGCACTTGAACTTTGGCAACTTGTGCGTTTCTTTTGAATCTTGGATTGACTGTGTCTTCAGGGTCCACGAAAATGTTCCGCGATAGAAATTCAGAAAGCAGAATTATCTCTTCTTGATATATCAAAGATGTTGTCAAAAGTCCAATGCAGCACTTTGCAGCCCCATAGATAAGATCCATGGCCTGAACCCCGAGATCACGATCACCAGGATGCTTAGCAAGGTCTCCCCGTCTTTGAAAAATGCACTCCTTATCAATCCAGATGTTACCAATGGCTTGACTTTGTGCAAACAGTATCACTCGTTCAAGGTAGTGATTAGGAAAGTCGATGTCGCGCGCGTCATGCCCGGGTCGCTGTACTTGGTACTTGGAGCTCTCTTTGATTTCGTAACCCCATGGAGGATCATTGCCTTGCGTCCATCGCCATGATACAGCGATGTATGGTTCTTTCCCATCGTCTTCTTCTTTCTCTCGAATAGGAAGTATGCAAGGCGCGCCCCTTGCGTGTTTGGACCATCGACGGTAGTCTTTGTAACGTATGGTATGACCACCAGTCCACCTTTCCAGCTGTGGGACACCCGAAATGTCGATGAAGCGCAATCGTTTTGCCCAATCTTCGGAAGCCTGCCGATCTGCCTTGTGGTTAACTTCAATGTCCTGAAGCTGGGCTAGAAGAGCAGCGGGATCATTGTGGAAAATCTCTCCAAACGTCAAGTCGAGATCGTCCTTCATTATTGCCAGTACAGCTGTGTCTATTTGTGACAATTCGATGGCCTAGTGATGAAGGCTAGAGGTGGAACAGTTGCATCGCGTATCTTGCTCTACGGTCAGCCCCAACTTGGAACGCGTGGCTTGCATATCCAGCTGTGTCACGAGATCACGTGCGTGATATGCCCTCTTGCATGGCTACCAATATCTCTATAACATGCAATCTTTCTTCGCTATTCGTAGAATTCCTGGCCATGCTTATGTCCACCTCGACAAATCTACATAAGCTTCGATAGATCAAATTTCTCTCATACGCGTTGCTCATTTCTCTGCTCAAGTCTTGGTGAGGCCTCTTACAAAATTTAAAGTCATCATAATTATAGATGCAATCCAATCGCAATTTCTAGCATGTTTGTGCGTTTATATCAACTGTTCATATATTTGAGGTATTTCACCTCCAAGAGAATACTGATCAGGCCTCTCCGATTGAGTGGCCATCTCGTTTAGCAACGACACTGTCACCGTCCATATTCAATGTCTTTGATCTTCGTCTTGTTCGACGACTGGAAGTAGACCTGGATGAGGCTTGACCATTTGAACCGGCGTTTTTTAGGTTCGCACTGGAGAGGCATACTTTGCTTGACCGATCAACTGACGAACACCAAGCGGGGGCTAGATCTTGGTGCAGCATAGTATCCATCGATGAGCAAACCTCGGGGGAGATTAGAGCTCACATGATGTTTGACAGTCCGTTGCACACCCGAGATTACTGTAGGCCAAACTCACAAAGAGCCTGATGGAAACATATCTACCTAGCTGAATTCATGTATGCTCAGTGTAAACTGTTCCATTCGCTAATCTAATGCAATCATCTACAACTTCGCTCCAGTCTGCGCCTTCTTCAATATCGGCTCCATCTTGGTTGCCTAAAACATGTCAGCTTAGAACAAACCTCACCCACAGCCTTTTGTTCACTGGGACTCACCTTCATAACATCACCCTTGACCTTCAACTTGCCACTCATAAACAATTTTTGCGCATTCGCCTTGCCTGTGACTAGCTTTCCAAAATCCTCATCACTCAAGATAAGCGTCACGGCAGCTTTCTTGCCCTCGGGCGCGGTGCCCTTGCCAACTGTACCGGTTTCCTTAAGGTCAATGTACCAAGACTCTTCTTTGCCAGAATTTTTGAGTGTGAAGGCGAAGATAGCAGAGCCCTTCTTGATGGCGTCTTTGCGGTCGGCCTCGGAGGATGAGAGAGAACGGGAGATTTCGTCGAAGGCGGCGGAGGAGGGGAAGTCGGCTGAGTAGGGAGTATCAGTCATTATTCGTGGTGGTTTTTTAGTAGAAATGATGGAGGGTGTCACAAAAGATAGATCAGACCGCGAGATGTAGGACGCGACAAAAGAGTCCACTGTGTCCACGAAGACGTTGCGCGGACCAATAGTAACGGGACAGTGCTTCAGACACCATCTCCACGGGATACAATACAGCAAGTCGCATATTATCAAGTCATAAGAGAGATACAATTAGAGCCTTTCACTTACCAGACTTGAGAGACATGATGGCTTACGTGTGTTGCTTTGTCTGTTGAGTCGAGGTGGACGGATACGTCTGTACTGATGCTACGACTGAGTAGGTACGGTGTGCGAAGAGTCAAGACACGAAAGGTCAAGGGGCCTAAGCGTATTTGAAAGATCACGTCGGAAGCTTGTGACAGTCGCTTGTGACAGTCGATGATGGAATCCGGGGAAGCAAGCGTCAGACATGTGAATGTGTTCATAGCTTGGGTTCCACGCGCTAGTGTAGATGCCGAGGTATTACGCTGAGTTCGGGGGTACGGCGCTAGTGAAGTTGCAGTTCACGCTGCGAACTTTCTCACGAGACATCTATCGTGTACAAATATTTTGGTAATTTATAGTGCTCGCAAGATTTCAATGTTGTCGTAATATCAATATAGTATCATATTCCACCATATATATACCAAAATGGAAGTGATGTAGAAGTGTTCGCTTTAGCCCTGTTTCCAGCCTGCGACAAATGTTGAGTTGGTAAACTTGAACAGATTTGATATTGCATCTGTATCGGCCCACGAAGGAGTCAAGAGTGTCAAAGTTTCCGACTACAACCTTCGGTGGGTTTCCGTCGCCTTTGGTGCAGATCTCTAATTCCCTTGCCGACTAAGCAACAAATCATCTAATTCTTCTTTGAAGCTCATCAAATACAATAGAAATTCATAATCTTAGGCAAGGGTTGGAGTCTACCTTAACACGGATATATTCTCAAACGTACCTAGGACCGATTTGTCGCTGAGAAGTGGTATCCCCTTCCGATAGATCATGAGCCATGACATTACCAAGTACACCTAGCAAGGAATGGCAAGATGAATTGCATCACCAGGTGTCAACCAACACCTCTACCGACGGGAACTATAAATAAAAGATGAAGCTTCAAAGCTGACCCTTGCAAGCTAGGTGCGAACTATTGTAACAACACAACGCTGCAGAGATTACTACGATAAGTAATGCTCAAAAGGCTAGTTCCATAACTAGTACTGAGAATCTACATGGTAAATGTAACGCAAAGAGCAGTGACCTCCTGAGTCCCGTAATGGGGATTATCATAGAGCAAAATGCGATTTAGTGGCGAAGAGCGTGAAAATCAGGTTCAGTGTGATGGAAGAAGCGAGTTCAGAGGGGAATCAGCATACAATAAATCTCCAATTGATTCCATGTAAAACATATCTCTTAGGTAGACCCAGGTTGTCTAACGAATGTGTAAGTGTGCGACGAGTTTTCCATGGACTTTGTTTGAGAAAATGTAACAAGCTTGCCTTGAATTGCTGTCCTACCTGGGATTGCTTGTAAAGTACCTGAATGTAATACTTCAGCAGCGATGACTTCGCTGATGCGTGCTGGACACACTGCACAAACGTGGGTCATTTTATCGATGCTCGCCGAGCTCAGTGTACGAAACGCTTCCTTGGCTTTTGGTCCTGGGTGTGCGTCTGTATATAAGAAGAGCACGACGACGACATACCAGGGGTTGTTGCAAGGTTATTGGAGCATAGTGGGCTTGCGTGATCATCCTGGATTTGTCAGGTCTCCCAATCAAGCAGCTAATTCTACCTGACAAACGGACAGGTCCCAAAATAATCTGCTTACACAGATGACGCTGTTACAGCAGTAAATTGGAAACTCCATGAAACGCGTAAATAGCGTTGTGACTGTTGCGTCAACTGCTATTGACTACCTTAGGACGCCTGAATGAATAATGTCAATCCTTTACAGTACCATGTGACTCAGATGCAAGGATGGTGCACATTGCAGACACTGTAATCATGATTTGAGGTTTCGTGACTGACTCTTAAAACAAAATATGATCAGTGTCGATCCGGTACAGCCGACCCAGGGCGGATTATTGATGTGGCAAAAGCCGTTTTGTCCGCAGCGGAAGCACCATCCGAAGGTACAGCCCCAGTAAAGTAGAGGTATCGCAAAGACCGAGGTACTCCAAGTACCAGATCCTGGGGTGTAATTGGCCCTATCGTAAAGGATCAGATCGCCTAGACGTGATGTTCCTAATGTCGTTCACCGGCACGGGCGGAGACGTCCGATATGTGAGTCGAAGGTGGCCGAATCTGATCTAGATCGAGTTTTTGTCATAATTCACAGCGCATGAATGCGTGATGGGATGCATGCTCGTTAAGTCACGCCTCTCACACCGACGATTTCGTGCGTGGTGTTGATGTGTAGTGAGAGGAAAGGCCCAAGAGTAGCGGTGGTGGCACAACACTAAAGAATACTAGTGCTGACTTGCTCTGTAGTTATCGCGTGGACCAGCGGCTTGGCAAAATGACGTTGCGAGAGCGAATCATGCACCGTCAGCGTTCGTAGCAGCCCTGCAATTAAACCACACGTCGAATACGATGTAAAGACGTCTACAATACAATCACCACAGGCAAGCTAATCCCTGTGCCGTCAGTTGTGGGGTACGGAAACCTGCCCGTACAGGGGGGACGAATCATTCTGGCCCGCACCTGGGTCCCTGATTTATTCGCAAGGCAGACTGCAGATTTCCCAAAAACAGTAACCCATATTTCTAAGACTTGCTAGTTGCTATACTCAGGATACCGTAAGAGTTGAATCAAGAAAAGAAACAAAACAAAGTGCCCAACATCAAGACCAACACCATCATGAAGTGGCTGCCAGCACTTGACACCTCTTCCTAGTTCAGCCTGAACCCCACCGAACGCATGTGCCCGATCTATAAACTATCATGCAGCCTAATAACGCCACGATCTGACTGTTTACTTTTCCCTCTCAAGTTATATAAACTCCATGCTAATGATTATACCGTGTGACGAGAAGGAACCGAAAGAATGAAGCCAGCCTTGAAGAGGCCGAGATGTAGCTCGGCGGTGCGATGGATAATTGGGGCCTGTATGGCTGGAAATGATACGCCTTGAAGGAATATATGAGCCTGAATTTGTGCCTCTTCATTGCAAAGCTCGCTGATAAGATTTCAATTGTAGATTACCGTATTGAAGACGATGGGAAGGATCCGCTCTCATATCCATAGTCTGGGAGGATTCCTACGTGCATATATTCGTAGTCGTTCCCAGAACGGTGGCTACCGTGAGTAGCGCAAGCGTATCCGACTAGGACAGTCTTCTCTTGTACTCCATGGCCACGTTGGCCATGGCCTGGACATGGGTCGCCATTGAGTTGGGGTCAAGCATCTTTGTCCCCCCGCTCTAAT